ATGGCCTTCTTTGTCTCTTTTGATCTTTGATGGTTTAAAAGTCTATTTTATCAGAGACTAGGATTGCAGCCCCTGCTTTTTTTTGTTTTCCATTTTCTTGGTAGATCTTCCTCCATCCCTTTGTTTTGAGCCTATGTATGTCTCTGCATGTGAGATGGGTCTCCTGAATACAGCACACTGATGTGTCTTGACTCTTTTCCCAATTTACCAGTCTGTGTCTTTTAATTGGACCGTTTAGTCCATTTACACTTAAGGTTAATATTGTTATGTGTGAACTTGATCCTGTCATTATGATATTAGCTGGTTATTTTGCTCTCTAGTTGATGCAGTTTCTTCCTAGCATCGATGGACTTTACATTTTGACATGTTTTTGCAATGGCTGGGACCTGTTTTTCCTTTCCATGTTTAGTACTTCCTTCAGGATCTCTTGTAGGGCAGGCCTGGTGGTGACAAAATCTCTAAGCATTTGCTTGTCTGTAAAGGATTTTATTTCTCCTTCACTTATGAAACTTAGTTTGGCTGGATATGAAATTCTGAGTGAAAATTCTTTTCTTTAAGAATGTTGAATATTGGCCCCCACTCTCTTCTGGCTTGGAGAGTTTCTGCCGAGAAATCTGCTGTTAGTATGATAGGCTTCCCTTTGTGTGTAACCCAACCTTTCTCTCTGGCTGCCCTAACATTTTTTCCTTCATTTCAACTTTGGTGAATCTGATAATTATGTGTCTTGAAGTTGCTCTTCTCGAGGAGTATCTTTGTGGCGTTCTCTGTATTTCCTGAATTTGAATGTTGGCCTGCCTTACTAGGTTGGGGAAGTTCTCCTGGATGATATCCTGCAGAGTGTTTTCCAACTTGGTTCCATTGTCCCTGTCACTTTCAGGCATACCAGTCAGACGTAGATTTGGTCTTTTCACATAATCCCATATTTCTTGGAGGCTTTGTTCATTTCTTTTTCTCTTTTTTCTCTACACTTCTCTTCTCGCTTCTTTTCATTCATTTGATCTTCAATCACTGATACTCTTTCTTCCAGTTGATCGAGTCGGTTACTGAAGCTTGTGCATTTTTCACGTAGTTCTTGTGTCATGGCTTTCATCTCTATCAGTTCTTTTATGGTCTTCTCTGCATTGATTATTCTAGTTATCCATTCATCCATTCTTTTTTCAAGGTTTTTAGTTTCTTTGCGCTGGGTACATAGTTCCTCCTTTAGCTCTGAGAAGTTTGGAGTGAAGCCTTCTCTCAACTCCTCAAAGTCATTCTCCCTCCAGCTTTGTTCCGTTGCTGGTGATGAGCTGCGTTCCTTTGGAGGGGGAGATGTGCTCTGATTTTTTGAATTTCCATCTTTTCTGCCCTGCTTTTTCCCCATCTTTGTGGTTTTATCTGCCTTTGGTCTTTGATGATGGTGATGTACTGATGGGGTTTTGATGTGGGTGTCCTTTCTGTTTGTTAGTTTTCCTTGTAACAGTCAGGACCCTCAGCTGCAGGTCTGTTGGAGTTTGCTTGAGGTCCACTCCAGACCCTGTTTGCCTGGGTGTCAGCAGTGGAGGCTGCAGAAGATAGAATATTGCTGAACTGCGAGTGTTGCTGTCTGATTCTTGCTCTGGAAGCTTCGTCTCAGAGGTGTACCTAGCTGTGTGAGGTGTGATGTATCGGTCTGCACCTACTGGGGGATGTCTCCCAGTTAGGCTACTCAAGGGTCAGGGACCCACTTGAGCAGGCAGTCTGTCTGTTCTCAGATCTCAGCCTCCGTGCTGGGAGAACCACTGCTCTCTTCAAAGCTGTCAGACAGGGACATTTACATCTGCAGAGGTTTCTGCTGCTTTTTGTTTATCTATGTCCTGTCCCCAGAGGTGGAGTCTACAGAGGCAGGCAGGCCTCCTTGTGCTGTGGTGGGCACCCAATTTGAGCTTCCGAGAGGCTTTGTTTATCTACTTAAGCCTCCGAAATGGTGGGCGCCCCTCCCCCAGCCTCACTGCCGCCTTGCAGTTAGATCTCAGACTGCTGTGCTAGCTATGAGGAAGGCTCTGTGGGCATGGGACCCTCCGGGCCAGGTGTGGGATGTAATCTCCTGGTGTGCCATTTGCTAAGACCCTTGGTAAAGCACAGTATTAGGGTGGGAGTTACCTGATTTTCCAGGTGTTGTGTGTCTCAGTTTCCCTTGGCTAGGAAAAGGAATTCCCTTCCCCCTTGTACTTCCCAGGTGAGGCGATGCCTGGCCCTGCTTCAGCTCTTGCTGGTCAGGCTGCACCTGCTGACCAGCACCTACTGTCTGACACGCCCCAGTGAGATGAACCCGGTACCTCACTTGAAAATGCAGAAATCACCCGTCTTCTGTGTCGCTCACGCTGGGAGCTGGAGGCTGGAGGTGTTCTATTCGTCCATCTTCGGTGCCCCCCTCAACTTTGGATCTTATTTAAAATTTATGTGTGAGCTGGTTTTTATGGACCTGGCTCTGACAGGGTAAATTGTGGGTGCCACCTCATTACTGCCAGATGGGAGTAGAAGTCCAACTTCCCTACTAGGCCTTCAGTGACAGCTGAAATGGAATAAGGCTTCTCATTATTGCTGGGCAGAGATAGGAGTTCTAGCCCCCAGCAGGGTTTCTATTGATACCACTCTGGCTGAGAGGGGTAGAAGTGCCTTGCTATTGCTTTCCACTCATACTGAAGTGGGAGAGGCTGCTTTGCCACTGGATGGTAGTGGCAATTTTAGCTTCCCATTCTGTGTCCTCTGATACCACAAATGGGTGTTGTCATTACCACATGGCGGGGATGAAAGTCCCCATTCCCTACCCAGCCTTTTTTAATACCAACCTAGGAGTCTTGTTAAAGGTTGGAAACAAGGTTGGAAGTCCAGGCTCACTATTCTACTTTTACTGGTTTTGAGTAGGGGTGAGGTCACAGATTTTTCAGTCATGTTTGGCTATAGTAGAATGATTATTGTCTAAAAGTTTTCTGTCTTCTGAGGCTGCACCTTTTCTATTTGGCTAGAGAGAGCAGACTTTTATTGGGGCTTTTTTGTCTGTATCTGTTGGTATTTCTGGGTTGCTGGTTTCTTCAGCTCCAAGTCTGGGATATATGAGGCAGAAAAAAACCTCAGGGAATTCACTATTGTATCATTCTTGGTTCCTGAGTTCCCCACCTTGTCTGCCTTTTTCTATCTTTCAGAATGTTCTTGGTTGCTCTTTTTAAAAAACATATTATGTCCAGGGTTTTTAGTTGTACTTAATGGCAGGAATAGGGACATGAAGTCCCACAATCAGTGTTTTAAAAACATTTTTACATAGTTCAAAGCACTATAGTTATATTGGGCCATGTTCTTTTCAGTGACTAGAGCTGTGTATGAGAAACTCTTAGAGATAAACTAATGCAAAATGGGCTTACATTTTCTACATTTTCTATATATTTTCATCTCAGTGCCATTTACATAGTGTTACAAATAATGCTTTTAATGTCAGTTTCTACCATGAACAAGCTTATGTTATGAAATGCTTCATTTATATCAGAGTAGTGAAAATCAAACATTTGGAAGTTTTACTGTACGATATAATTATACATTATATTAATATGTTATATTTATGTACATATGATAAGATAAAATTTAAAATACGTAAATTAAAAATAGAAAGTTCATCATGACTTGGGAAAAATTATATAAAGGAGCGTAGTTAATTCCAATCAAGATGCCAGTCTAATTAATTTAACAAATGTGGAGTATTCATTTGTGTTTTTCTGAGCTCTTAGGTTAATGAGTTGCCATATTTCTTATAAAGGTAGGGAAACTGATTAAAGTATTTTTTATTTCACATGTTTTAAGTGATACTAACATTATTTTAGAACATTTGAAAAACATTTGTGATTGATGAAATTTAACTAATTTTTTTTTTTTTTTTGCTATAGTTGTCTTTCCTATATGAAAGCTTTTTGTTTGTTTGTTTGTTTGTTTTTTGTTTTTTAAGAGACAGGGTATTGTTCTGTTACCCAGGCTGGAGTATAGTGCTCTATCATAGCTCACTGCAGCCTCCAACTTCTAAACTCAAAGGATCCTCCCCGTTTCTGAGCCTCCCAAGTAGCTGGGACCACAGATGCACACCTATGTGCCTGACACTTTTTAAAAGTGTCCATTTTTATTGTTAGCCAATTGATATACTTTTGTTTATACTAGAAAATCAAGAGGGGAATCACAATGGATTATCTTAATGGTAATAATTGTATAATTCTTTATTACATTATAAACTTTAAATAATTTTCTTCTAGGTACAGTGAAGGTGAAATTCGATTTAATTTAATGGCCATTGTGTCTGACAGAAAAATGATATATGAACAGAAGATAGCAGAGTTACAACGACAACTTGCAGAGGTTCGTGGCCATGTTTCTAAGTACAAAGTTCTAGCTTGGTTATTCTCTCAGGAATAGTATTTACTTTAAATATATATATATATAATCAAGTGGTCTGAATGGTGATTAAGCGAATACACACTCTGAAATCAGGCTGCCTAGATTCATTTGGTTCCTCACTTTGCACTTAGTGGATATAGGAATTTGAGTATATTTCCTTGTGCCTCAGTTTCTTCATATAGCATAAAGATAATAAGTAGTATTTACCTCATAAGACTGTCATGAGGAGTAAATGAGGTATTATATGTAAATCACTTAATGACTAACAAATGGTAAATGCTAAATAAGTGTTAGGAATGAACTATTTTAACTATTTTCTGTGATTTCATTATATAATTAAGCAAGTTAATTCTCAAAGAGTTAACTGAGTACATTTAGAGTCACATGTAGTCTTTACTAGTCTATGGTTATCTTTCCGTAGTAAATGTCATTGGAGAAGAGATTTAGTAGACAAAAGTTTATTTACCATCCTTTGATCACATTTTCTTAAGAATATATTTAAGAAAATTTATTTTATAGTGTATTAGGAGAATATGGCAATATAGTATATTACAGTGTAGGTTGTTTTTAGATGAAAATTCATATTATTAAAACAGAAATATGGAAGGTACAATTTTGGAGCTTTTATCCTTTAATGCTGCTGTTAGGCTGGCATGCTGCTATCAATATGAAGAGTAGAAATTCAAAAATAGTCATACTGTGTTTATTATTTTAAAATATTCTGAATGTAAGCCTCAATTATTAGGGTGTGCTATTTCTTTTCCTTCCCCCAAGGAGGAACCCATGGATACAGATCAAGGTAATAGTATGTTAAGTGCTATTCAGTCAGAAGTTGCCAAAAATCAGATGCTTATTGAAGAAGAAGTACAGAAATTAAAAAGATACAAGGTATGTTTTTAAAAATGTGTTCCTTTAATGTTTTAATGTAGAGCAGTGTATTTCAAGATGAAGGTACATTGAATATCTGATGGCTTTCCCTCCTATCATTTACCAAATTTCAAATAATATGTTGATTCTCTGATACCCTACAAAGATAAGTAGTGAGATGTCTTTCATTTTTATTTTTGTAAAATATTACTAGGAACAGAATTTTAACCTATTTGATGTTTCAGTTCACTGTAGTTATTATTCTTTTTTTTTTTTTTTTGGACGGAGTCTCGCTCTGTCGCCGGGGCTACAATGCAGTGGTGCAATCTTGGCTCACTGCAA